TTTCTTGTAAAGCTGTCCCAACAGGAATTCTTTGCTAAAAAAATAGAAATTGTAGGCTTTTGGGTCAGAATTGTTTTTTAATCAATGCCAGTTTTCTAGCTATCCAGATGTTTTGTCCTGTTCTTGCAGCTGAGACTCATATTTATATGTGGTTAGTCCAAAGATGGCAAACTAGCTTGTAGATTATATAATTTCAAACATTTGCAAGTTGTTCCAAAGTCCAGGCATTAAAACAATTTTATACTATTTGCTTACAAGAGAAACAGAAAATGAAGCCCAGATAAATGCGAATAAAATAAGCAGAAATCAAAAGAACATTTGTGAAATTATTGCCTTGAATCGTCATGTAGTTTATACACAGATCAACTTTAAGAGACTCCAAAACTGTTATTTAGTTCAATGCTACAGCATGACATTACAACATTTCTTACACTTGTAATACTATGTGTGCACATGTACACACTTCAATAAATTAGCTGTTATATAATCCTGAAACAGAAAAGTGACAGCAAATCTGAATCTGAATTTATATAGCCCAATCTACACACACACACACATACACACACACACACACAGAGTCTAGCATCATATTATTTAGGGACTAGGGAAGCAAAATGTGGAGAGGGCCAAATGATATTAGTTCCTTTATAAAAGTGGCTCCCAACATTTTCCCCATATGGGGTCTTGCTGTGATTCCTGCTCCATTTTGTCAAGTATTTATTACTTTGCATGGAATAACAGGCTTTGTAATTTTTATTAATCAAAATTATACTGTTATGCACAGCTTCTGATCAGTGTTGATAAGCAATGTTAACAGACAATTGAAAGGATAAGAAAAAAACATGGGAATTCCATGTCTCAGTTAGCTTATGCAGAAGGAATACTATAGGTCAATGTGAGGTTTCTAGTATAGTTTTTGAAATAAGGAAAGCTCAAGTATACCTCCACTGCTATCTTCATCTGCCCCAAGTTGGGAACCACTGGTTTACCTCCACCTGCTTTTCCTCCCTAAACCAAGTACTAACATAATAAAATTACTCATGTTTAACAGAGCAGAATTAATAACAAAATTTACTAAAGGTTAGATCAACTATAACACTTACTCTATAGGGTCTTACTGAGAAAGCAAGCTAACAAACATGGATTTAAAGGACTCTTTAAAACAATTATGATATCCAGTATATCTCTCAGCTGATTTCAAAGCACACTAATATACGAAAAAAAAAATCCTCAATTCTCCTGTGAGGTAGGTCCACATTATTGTCCCCACTTCAGCAATGAGGACATGAGGTACAGAGGAATTAAGCAGCAGAGCTAAGAATTAAATAAGGAGTGACTTGGGTTTGGTTTGAATTCTACACCATTTTCTTTTCTACCTAACTTGATCCATTTGTCCCAATTGATCTTTTTGAGGGTATGGAACTTGATAAGATACAGAAGCAGATGTTGAATAGGATATGAAACTCTTCACATAGTCCAAGTGGATCCTCTCATATCTCTATTATCATCACAGCTGTAATTCTTGCCTGGAAGCAACTGCATTGTCAGATTCCACATAGGCAAAACACAAAGACCTCAGTCCACTCAATTCCTAGGGAAACTACATTCATGGGGGAACTAAGGTCTAGCAGGCATCAAGTTCTTTGAGTCAGTGATATTATCACACACCAACTAGCAGCCAGATGGCAAATTCACTTTTATTGTGTGCAAGGCACTGTGAGAGTTTCTAAGGGTAGTAGATCTGAGAATAATCATTCTGAGATTATGGAGAGTAAAAATTTCCTAAGGAGTCCTAGTATCACAGAACATTAGGCATCTCTAATTTTCTGTCCAGCTCTAGGTTCAACTCCATTATTTTACAGATGAGAAAGACAGACATGCAATTTAAGTGACTTGCCTGGGGCCCGCAATATTGGATCACCGTCATATAGTATGGGTTTGACAAAGTCCACAGAAAATGGAACATATTCTCAGGTTGCTACCAACAAACTAAAAAAGCTGGCTCAGAATCAGGTAAGGGAAATCTGGGGCAAGATAAGGATATATGTATATATATATATATATGTATATCTATGCATGTTTATCCATGTGCATATGTAAAGGTATACACATATATATCCTTCAATTGTTTTTAGTCCACAAAATATATGAATAGGTATTAACAATACCTATTCCTTTTCTGTGAAAAAAATCCTAACAGTTCACCATTTAAGGAAACCTAAATAATTTGACAATTGTAAAATAGATTGTTTAAAAGCAGAATTTTATAAGCATTAAATAGGACTTAATTTCAATGAATTTCAGAAATTAGAATTGAATTAGCAAAAAATATTTCCACTAGTAAAGCTACTCCAATTAATCAGCTAAATATAATTTCTATAGCCACCTAGGTCAATATAGTAAATTCTAATGAAATAGTGTTTGGGGACTTTAAGTTCAAGTAGTAAGGTTATTTAAGTGGCAGCTTATCTGTAGACAAAAATAAAAATGCTAATGGTGTTTAAAACTGTTTTTTCAAAGGCTTACAAATATTACTGAACTTGAACTTTTCTCAAATGATTAAAAAAACAACAAATTTCATTTGAAATAGTAGAGAGATGAATATTAATACAGTTTAATTTCTCAGGCATGAGTGTTTATACGTCATAGTAATATGAATACAGGGCTTCAAAGACTAGTGTCCCTCCAGACCATGTTAAATCACATGTTTACTAGCATTAAAACTATACTCATGTTAAGTGACTTATATTCCTGTCCTGCAATATTTTATCATTAATTTATCACATGATTGGAGGAAAACAAGACAAAGGTTTTGTATAATAAATACAATACCCTAGTGAAATATACCTTTGTATCTAGCAAAAACAAAAAGGATGATTTCTAATCAAACCAATCCATTTATTCTGCCTCCTGCATAACATGTTATCTTTGTTCAAAAAAGACAAGGCACTTCTCCATCTTTACCTCTAAAATTTGACTACAATGGTCTCTTTCCTAAATTAAAATGAGTATAGAAGGGTATAAAGTAGAGGACATGTTTGAGAAGGAGTTAAGAAATCTGTAAATGACACTTGCGCATGGTTGTTATTAATAATACACATGCCATTGGCCTTTTGGATGTTTTAAAATGGTCTATTTATTAAGCTTTAATTTTGGGCCAAATGAAAAGCATTGGAATGTGACTTTTAAAGAACTCTGAAATTTTAACCTCAAAGCTTAGTTGATGTTTATATACTTTGGCAAATACATGCTATTTTTCTCTGGAGACTAACATGGCAGATTTCATAAAAATATTATGTAACAAAGAAATTCAAAATTAATGCCTGCAATCTGATAATAACTTTCACAAAATACTAACTTAATGGAAAAATACAAGTATGGTGTATCCCGAGGATTAAACAACATTCAGTAGGGGAGGAATTACCACAGTGTACTCTGTCATTTCAGCATTTGCTACTGCCAATTTCAATGAAAAGAAAATAATCCCTCCCAAACACTCAACTTCTAATCAGCTTCATAAACAGGGAAAACTTGTTGAAAAAGCAGTCACAGAAGGAAGGCAAAAGAAAAGAAATTAGTTGTTTACTGGGTAGAGTTTCAAGAAACTCAGATTAGTCAAACAGCACAATGGACAACACAGACTAAATTTAAGAGCAATTAGTTAAAATTAAGTATACACATGCTGGAAAAGGTTTTTGGTTTATGACAAATACTATTGTGACTTTGATTTATATGCTCTATTTCTATCTTAATATTTGTTTCGTGGAAACAACTCACTATATTTCCTGCTGTTTTTTGAGCAAAACTAAGTGTGATTTATACATGGCACAAAAGTTACTATAACACCATACGGTCAAATTCTAAGGATACAGAAAAACGATATGATTTTTAAGGGTTGACATTTAAAAACAATGATTGTATTAGAATGAATGAAAAGTCTATATTATGATGAAAATCAGTTTTGGTATTAAAATGTCACAGTTTGAAGCATAAATCTGATCACAACAGTTGGAACATAAACATAGATACAATTTTTCTGTGATCTTAGCTATGAAACAAGACACTGGGTATGCATTTTCAGTTACCACATCGTCTATATAAAAATACATCTTCCAGTTTGCAGTAGGCAGACACAACACATTATTTAGGTGGTGAGGTGGCATGGGGGAGTGGGGTTCCACAGAAGGAGGTGGTAGTGTTTGTGCAAACAATTATAATCACATATCAAACAGCACATCTTTCTTCTCTCTTCTACTAGTCAAAGACAAAGTTCTCAAATTAGGCATAAACTTTAAAGGTGGCTTCAAAAGGCTTCATTTGTATGAAGAAATGATTGTTTTCTCCGCTGGAATAAGAGCTTGCTTAAAAAGCTTACTAAAAGCAGTTGGAGCAAGATGACAAGAATATAATTCAGTCCTTTTGCTTGAAATTTATTTTCAGCCCTATGAGTTAACAAACAATGCCTACATACAGGCATACCTTTGCAGTTGAATTACTGTGGTATAAAGCTGTTGTTTCGCTAAAATTCTAGAACTCAACTGAGTGTGGTAATCTCACTCATACTAACTGTGAAAAAAGAGAACTATGCAATACCAATTAGATGGCTACATGTGTAGCACATTTACAAACAAATGAACACTTTTTTTTTTTTGGTCAGTGGTGGGGCTTGAACTCTGGGCCTAGGCATTGTCTCCCAGCTCTTCAGCTCAAGGCTAGTGCTCTACCACTTTGAGCCACAGCACCACTTCCAGTTTTCTGATGGTTAATTGGAGATAAGAGTTTCAAGGTCTTTCCTGCCTGTGCTGGCTTTGAACCGCAATCCTCAGATCTCAGCCTCCTGAGTAGCTAGGATTACAGGTGTGAGCCACCGGCGCCCGGCTTGAAAACACTTTTGTCTAAATACTTATCTCTCCTCATGAATAATTTCCAAATGTTTAAAGAAAGATCCTCCAAAAGAAGAAAATATTTTGTCAAGTATGACTTGGCCACTATTATACATATATATGTATATATGTACGTATATATACATATATGTTATACATATATATGTATAATTTCTCAATTAGCTCCTCCCCAAAGCAGAATAACTGAACTCTAGAAAAGGGTTAGCAGTGGCTTTCATAGGAGTCTAGCTACCTCCCAAGACATGAAATCTCAAAATACTTAATGGTCAAAGTTTTGGTGTTTTTTTGTTTTTAAAGAAATAAGGGAGAGTAAGCTAGGACATTTGTCAGATATCAAATAAAGTCTTTTGAGGGTGGGAGGGGAGGACAAAATGGGAAGCATTGAATTAAATGGGGGAAAAATAAGGATCTTGGTTCCAGGTGCAATGAACAATATCTGAGCTTGATAATGATTTCAGTCTGAATCCATTTGTTACAAAGGGCAACCATGCCCTACACCTGAAATTTTAACATACTGGTATGGCTCTGCCATAAACAGCATGTTAATAATAGTCTCTACATTCAAAAGGATGCTTGCAAACTTCATTCATATTAAAATCTATGCAGAATTGTTGGCAATACAGTAAGATTAATATTACATTCTGTAAACCATGGCATACCACATTTTACATTATGCAAAGAGACAATATTTACAAGGCTTTAGGAGTTTAAATATTTTATCCACTAACATAAGTGATAATTAAGCAAAGTGCAGGACAAAACCAGTGCTATTAATTGCATGTCCTTTAAAAGCAGAGTAAAACCATTTCTAAAAGCTACCAAAAGCTTTATTTAAGTGTGTCAGTAAGGGATTACAGAGCATTAAATAGCCTAGAAAAAATGATGCATAATTAGAAACAGTGAGTATGAAAATTATAAGGCAGCATGCTCAGAACAAGGTTTTGTTTTTTAAAACACCATCACTGATGTTTCCTTTTTGTGGCAACTATATATATACATATATGCATATATATGTATATGTATAAGTGTGTAGTAAGTAAAAATTGAAAGTGCAAAACACAAGCTTCATTTAAGAACAAAGGATGTGCAAATTCTCTTCTTAAACCAACACAAATAAAAGAGTGAGGAGAATATTCTACCATTATAAGGAATAAGTTGAACACAGCAAAGGAGACCATCTTCATTCCAAAATCATCTACAAGGCACTAAGGGTAGGAAATGACAGGAAACACAGAAGTGACTGAATAAAACTCCTCAGTCAGGTCGGAATATGGGGTATTTTGGTAAGAATTCTATTAGAATTACCTGCAAAATAAAAACAAACAAGAATATGTAGACAAAATATTTTTCATTTATTATAACATATGACCCCGGAAGTCTATAATCAGTTTTTATGACTGCATTTTGTTAATTGAAACACATATGAACACAAAGAAATTGCAAGTTGCAATTGGACTGGCAATTTAAAAATTAAACTGGCAAACCTCCAGTATTACTCAAAAAAGTCATTTTGTAGTTTTAGAATAGGCAATACATACTGGTATGCAAAACATATAAACTGGGATGAGGGCAGTACTGGGGTTTGAACTCAGGGCTTGTGCAAACTAGGTAAGGACTCTACGTAGCTCTGAGTACTCCTCTAGCTCTGACATTTCATTTTAAGTGTGAGTGTAACAGGGTCTGTGACAGTCTCTGTCATGTTATGCAGTGTTTTGTGCAACAACAACAACAAGAACAAACAAAAAAACAGGGGGAAACTTAGGAGATTTTAGGGACCTTGAAGTGACTTCGTCCACAGATTTCTTTTGAAAATTAAGAGGATAGAGTCCAGAGCATAGACCTGCCTGGGCCTTACCCACTGTCTTTTTTTTTTTTTTTTTGCCAGTCCTGGAGCTTGAACTCAGGGCCTGAGCACAACCCTGAGCATCTTTGTGGTCAAGGCTAGTGCTCTACCACAGCGCCATTTCTGACTTTTTCTGAGTAGTTTATTACAGATAAGAGTCTCATAGACTTTTTAGACTTTTCTGCCTGGCCTGGCTTTGAACTATGATCCTCAGATCTTAGCCTTCTGAGTAGCTAGGATTACAGGCATGAGCCACTGACACCCAGCTCCACTGCCATTTTTAATATATATTTTTATTGTAAAGCTACTGTACAGAGGGGTTACAGTTACATGAGTAAGGTAATGAGTACATTTCCTCTCAACTATTGTTACCTCCTCCTTTGTTTTTCCCCTTCCATCTCTTCCATCCCCACCTCTCCAACTCCTCCCTCCTCCACCTGCCCCCCAAAGTTGTAAAGTTCATTTTCAACATAGTGCCTTGTACATCTCATTGTTACAGTGGGTCAACCTGTTCCACTGCCATTTTTTTTTTTTGTGTCGGTCGTGGGGTTTGAACTCTGGGCCTGGGCGCTGTCCCTCAGCTCTTCAGCTCAAGGCAAGCGCTCTACCACTTGAGCTACAGCGCCACTTCCGGTTTTCTGGTGGTTTATTGGAGATAGGAGTCTCACGGTCTCTCCTGCCCAGGCTGGCTTTGAACCGCAATCCTCAGATTTCAGCCTCCTGAGTAGTTAGGATTACAGGCGTGAGCCACCAGTGCCCGGCCACTGCCATTTTTTACTGGCAAACAAATCTCATTTTTGTAGCTAAGAGTTGTTATTACTTGATTTACAATTGTTAGTGAGTTAAGGTGAGAAGAGCAAACTCTATGAATTTTCATGTTCTCCCCTAACTTTTTGTATTTGCAAAGGGGAAGATAATTGAAACTACATTACACAGATTAGAAAAAAAAACCTCTGTATATTATGCTTATATATATTTCAATCCCAGAAGCTGATATTAGTTGAGGATTACTATGTTTTATAAGGCATTCATGAAAAATGGATTGGCTAAATCAATTTAATTGCAAAAAGGCTGATGGATATAATAATAAAAACCTCAGCTATTTTAAGTGTTTTATCTATAATAGAATTTAGATGTGTCATTTCTCCTACAACTATTCAGTGTGAGAGATACCATAATAATCATTTAGAGATGTGGATGGGGTATTTATTATTATTAAATATATACCATGTATCAGCACCTTGTAGCTTGGGTAGTTCAGGATTATTTTTCATGATGGTCTTGGTGCTTGAACTCAACCTAAGTCCCTAAGTTTTTCGTTCAAGGCTAGTGCTCTGCCACTTGAGCCACGGCTATTTCTGGCTTTTTGGTGGTTAATTGGAAATTAAGAGTTGCTTGGACTTTGCTGCCCAGGCTGGCTTCAAACTATGATTCTCAAATCTTAGTCTCCTGCATAGCTAGGATTACAGGTATTGGCCTCCAGCACCTGGCTTGGTTTAATATTCCTTCAAAAGCTAATACTATGGAATAGATCACATTGGTTCTATGCGAATTTCTTGTACGTGTGCATGTGCTAGTAACTCGGGCTTAAACTCAAGGCTTTACACTCTTGCTTGTTTTTTTTTTTTTCCTTTCATACCTGGTGCTGTCTACCACTTGAGCAATACCTCCACTTCTGGCTTTTTGCTGGCTAAATGGAGATAATAGTCTTGTATTTGTCTGTCTGGGCTAGCTTCGAACCTCAACTCTCATATCTCAGCTTCCTGAGTAGCTAGGATTACAGACATGAGCCACCAGTGCCCACCAGTTCTATGTGCATTTATATTCCATGATTAAGATTGCATAGCTTGGGGCTGGGAAGGTGGCTCAGTGGTAGAGCGCTTGCCTTACATGCCTGAGGCCCTGGGTTCGATTCCTCAGCACCACATAAGCAAAAAGAAAAAAGCCAGAAGTGGCACTGTGCCTCAAGTGGTAGAGCGCTAGCCTTGAGCTGAAGAGCTGAGGGACAGAGCCCAGGCCCAGAGTTCAGGCCCCACGACCAGACCCCCCCCCCAAAAAAAAAAGATTGCATAGCTTTCAGTACAAACACTGAGGCTATATTAAAATCCATCTTTCTTTCACTGCAAGTTAAATGTCAGCCAAGATAAAACAGCCCAAAGTATGAACTCAGAATTCTGAAGTCAATTCCAACTTTATGTAAGTTTTGACAAGATTTCAAATTTAGAATTTTTTTTTTTTACCACAGCAGCTGTTCTCACTATCATGTGTTAAGGTTTGTGTATATGTTAAAAGAAATCAGAGTTGTACAATGTTTTCATTTGGGAATACTTGCCTAAACCTTTCTAAGATCTAAATCTCAGCTTTCAATATATTTTAGTTTGGCTACAAATCTAAAGAAAAGGAAAGGAAATGTCTACATTCCAACTGATAAAAGTTCAGGCTGAGAAGAAAAAAGGCAGAAAAATGGTTGACAGATGCTAAGCACCGTAAAATGTTACATTTAGGATGAAACCCAAAAAATGTAATTAAAACAACTTCATACTTACATACTCCATCATATTGCTCGTTTCACATTTCCTTTTAGTCAACTTCCAGTGCAAAGCAAGCTAAGAAAGCAGAGTTTCATTAAGACTTCTTATATCTGTTTAAACTTACTACAACGTGAGCATTTGAATAAGTCATGGAAAACAATCTTGGTATAAGAAACAAAACACACCTATAATACTTCATAAAGTATACATATATATTTTTTAAAATTGAGTATGAATTCTCTAATCCATTTCTTTATGGTCTGAAAAATTCCTGTTTAATACAGTAATTTATTTGCTTAAATTTTCTTACCTTATGATATAATCTGTTATTTTCCCATTCTAGTAGCTTCTGAATTGATCTTCTAGTCTAAGGAAAAGGATCAAGACTGTTATAAAGTGAACTGAAAAACATTGTAAACTGCATTTATCTATATTTTTCTGCTTACTTATATAAAATTTAGTTAAGTTCTCCTGTTGTTTTCCTATTAGAAATCAGAAAAAAGCAAAAGATCTGACTGAAATTGCCCAAAGAAAAGGAATATTTTAGATAATTACTATAGAGTTATAATAATACCTCATGCTTTTATGTTTTTCAAAATGAAATATGTACTAATTGCTCTGTGGTATGTAGCCATTGACTTGACTTTCCATTTCACTATTTATGAAAACATTATCAATACTGCTTTCTTGAAACAGTAGTATCTACAAACCTAGATTTTCATATACCTTCACAGGATTCGGGGTGTGTGTGTGTGTGTGTGTGTGTGTGTGTGTGTGTGTGTGTGTGTGTGTGTGTGTGTGTGTGTGTGTGTGTGTGTGTGTGTGTGTGTGTGTGTGTGTGTGTGTGTGTGTGTGCGCGCGCGCGCAGCCGCGCGCGCCGGTTTTGAGGCTGTCTCTGAACTTTTGTGCTCAAGGCTAGTGCTCTACTATTTGAGCCACAGCTTTACTTCTGGCTTATTTTGGTAGTTAATGGGTGATAGGAGTCTCTCTGATTTTCTTGGCAGGGCTGGCTTTGAGCAAAGATCCTCAGTTCTCAGCCTCCTGAGTAGCTATAGTTACAAGCATGAGCCACCAGCATCTAGCTAGAATTAGTTTTTAATAAACATCTAATATGCAAAGCTAATCTGATTCCTCACACAAAGTTTCCAAATCAGACTCCTAATGTGTAACACCTGGCAGATACAGCAGTCAGTTAAAGCCAACAGGCTGAGTAATACTAGCCAGAATTTTCCACAAAAAATAACATATTAGGAACACCACGTAGAAAGACATACATTTAGAAAGAAAAATATAAAGGAGAGAAAGAGCAATGTAGCAAACAGGGACAAAAGCAGGGTTTCTCCATTCTGATTGCACATATTTTGTAGTGAATAAAAAGAGTTTGCAAAGCCTTTGAAAGGATTAAAAGATTACTAGGCATTTTAATTATTATTGATAGAGTTGTATATGGTTTTTTATTTTAAAAACTCTGCTGGTAGGCACTGTCAACTTTGAAAATTACTCTTTACAACCAAAGGATTTACAAGGCAGACTATCTCTGAAATGATTTCTAAAGTGCCAACACAAGAAGCTATCCTACCTGTTGAACTGTGCAAGTTAACAATCTATGGCAACTGAATTCTAAATGACTTCTAACTATTTACAATTGGCTAGGTCAGCAAAAATGTTAGAGTGTGTTACGGTGTCATTACATTTGATAGAATCTAGATAAAATCAGGTGAATAACAAATAGAGACTGAATCAGTAATTAAAAAATCTTTCAGGAAGAATAAAGGAGGCGGAATACTGTCAAAACAGATAATTCTCAACTATGAAAACAGAAGGAAACCTGCTGGGGCGTTTAGGGGGAAAAGACAAGGAAGTATGAAAGAGTGGGTGAGATTGATTGGAATATAGTGTAAACATGTATGGAGATGTAACAATAAGATCCTTCCTGTATAACTAATATAAGCTAACTTAAACAAAGAAAAAAATCTTTCCAGAAGGAAAAAAAAAAAAAAAAACACCCAGGATCAGAAGGCTTCAATCATGAATTCTTCCAAACATTTTAGGAAGTAATACAAGTCCTTCACAAATTCTTTCAGAAAATAGAAGGAATACTTCCAGTTCACCCTATAAACTCAAAGATGTCACATATGCACACAGAGCCACAGATCAATATCCCTAATTGATACAAACAAAATATTCGCAACTACACTATCAAACGGAATCAGATTCAAATTGAGTTCTGGCAACACAAAAACAAACTCATATAACACATTACATTAATAGAATAAAGGAAAAAAAACATGTTTACCTTTTTTGATACAAGGTCTTACTATGTAGTCTAAGCTGGCCTGGAAATTGCTATGTAGCCCAGGCTGGTCTTGAACTCATAATTCTCTTGACTCAGCCTCTTCAGTATTGGGATTACAAGCTTGAAACATCACACTCAGCTCCAGATGACTAACATTCCCCCCACAATTAATCAATAAACCTCACCATTTACCATAGCATAAAAAATAAAAAAATAATACTTAGAAATAGAAACTTAACAAAAGAAGCAAAAATACTGTGTTCATATAATTATGAATAATGGACAAACTCCAATATCCATTCATGACAAAACCCTAAGAAACTAGGACTAGATGTGACCTCTCTCACCTTGAGAAAGGACATCTATGGAAAGCCTAGAACTATCACCATGCTTTATGGTGACATTATCTTTTAACCCCCCCCCCCCCAAAAAAAATTAGGAACTTAGGGTGGTTTCCTCTCACTGTGTTTTCAACATTGTATTAGCAGTTATAGCTAGAGCAATTAGATAACCCTAAAGGAAACCACTAAAACACTTGTTGATCCCTTATCGGATATGTGACTTGCAAGTATTTCCTCCTATTCTGTGGTTTATCTTTTCACTCTCTGAAAACACCACTTAATATACAGTTTGTAAACTAAGTAGTTCAACCAGGTTTGCAGGATATAAAATTGTGGGAGGTACAATTCTTGCTCCTATAATCTTCAGCACCTGGCATTACACCTGTGACTATGTATGTTACGTGTTACATTACAAAAGGAATTGTACAGATGTAATTAAAGTTACTGATCAACTGGCATTCAAATAGAGAGATAATCCAGGATTACTTGGGAAAAATCAATGAAATCACACAAGCAGAGAAATTTTCCTGGCTAGGAGAAGGAAAGATTTTTTTTTTCTGTTGGTAGTGGGGCTTGAACTCTGGACCTGGGTGCTGTACCTCAGCTCTTCAGCTCAAGGCTAGCACTCTATGTCTTGAGCCACAGTGCCACTTCTGGTTTTCTGAGTGGTTTATTGGAGATAAGTGTCTCACAGACTTTCCTGCCTGGGCTGGCTTTGAACTGCGATCCTCAGATCTCAGCCTCTTGAATAGCTAGGATTACAGGCATGTGCCACCAGCGCCCAGTAGAGAGGGAAAGATTTTAATTACAAGAGGCATCCAACTGACCATTGCTGGCTTTAAGATGGAAAAGGCTACATAAGATGTGTAAGAAGGAAGTGAATTTTGCCCAAACCTGAATGGGATTGGAAGCAAATTAGTCCACTGAGGAATAGAGCCTCCCAGCATCTTGACTTTGGCCACTGATACTATTAATAAGAGAATCCAGTTGAATAGGTTGTGCCTAGAGTTTGGACTATAAAATAATATATGGGCATTATTATGTACCACTAAGTTTTATGAAATAATCTTATAGCAGAATAAAACAGCAGTAAGAGGCTGGGGATATAACTCAGTGGTATAATACTTGCCTAGAATGGATAAGGTACTGGGTTTAATCCCCAGTACCACAAAAATAAAACAAAGATTAAAGCTAAAGAAGTAAACAAATGGAGGTGGGGGGGGGAGTCCTACTTTCATGAATCAGACGATTTCATATTAAGATGGCAATACTTTGGGAGTATTCTCTAGGACAGATCAGATCATATAGTAGGTCACAAAACAATTCTTAAAAATTAAGAATAAAAGCCGGGCGCTGGCGGCTCATACCTGTAATCTTAACTACTCAGGAGGCTGAGATCTGAGGATCGCGGTTCAAAGCCAGCTGGGGCAGGAAAGTCTGTGAGACTCTGATCTCCAATGAACCACTCAAAAAACTGGATGTGGTGCTGTGGCTCAAGTGGTAGAGCGTTCACCTTGAGCTGAAGAGCACAGGGACAGTGCCCAAGCCCAGAGTTCAAGCCCCATGACTGACAATAAATTAAATAAACAAATAAACAAACAAATAAATAAAATTAAGCATACTGAAATTGGGCTTAGTGGTAGAGTGCTTGCCTAGGTTGCATGAAGCCCTGGGTTTGATTCCTCAGTACCACATAAAAATAAAAAGCCAGAAGTGGTGCTGTGGCTCAAGTGGAAGAGTGCTAGCCTTAAGCAAAAGAAGCTCAGGGATAGTCCCCAGGTCCTGAGTTCAAGCCCTAGGACCACCCCCCCCCCAAAAAAGAAGACTGAAATTATAGTGACTGTCTTTTCCAATAACAACAGAATGAAGTGAGAAGTCTATAATAGCACAAGAAATCTTGGAAAATTCACAAGTATGTGGAAATTAGACAGTGTGGTCCTAGACAGCCAATAGGGCAAAGGACAATAAAGAAGAGAATAAAAGGGAAGTAATAAATACCTTGAGAGAAATGAAAATGGAAACACAACACACAAAAACGAATGAGATGAAGCAAAAGCAGTCCAAGAGGGAATTTTTTTTTTTATTGTGAAAGTACTGTACAGAGGGGTTACAATTACATGAGCAAGGTAATGAGTACATTTCTTATCAAGCATTGTAGCCTCCTCCTTTGTTTTCCCTTCCCATCCCTGCCCATCCTTCCCCCCACTTGGTGCCCCCCCCCCCTCGCCAAAGTTGTAAAGTTCATTTTTCTACATAACATCTTGTACATCTCATTGTTGCAATGGGAGCACCTGTATCCCTATTTAAACGATTTGTTTTTTCCCTTCCCCTCCACAAATTATACCAACATCAAATACAGTGAAAACAGGGGTTATACCATAGGGGAGGGCCAAGAGGGAAATTTACAGAAAAAAGTGTACATTGAAAAAAAGAGAAAACACTCAAATAATGTTTTATTTCAAAGAACTAGAAAAAGAACAAACTAAGCTCAACTTTTGTAGAAGAAAGGAAATAAACATCAGAGTAGAAATAAGTGAGACGCTGGAAAAGAACAGAAAAGAACAACAGAACTAAGAATTGGTGTTTTTTTGAAAAGAAAAAGGAAACCAACAAATCAAAACTAACAAATTTGTGTATTAAGTGATATTTTTTTTTTTTTTTTTTTTTTTTTTTTAGCACTTGTATCCATTTATCTTAGAAGTCCCTTCAACAGCAAGTTCATATCTCGTA